AGTTTTATCTGTCGATAATCTTTTAGGATTATGTTCTCGATATCTATAGCTTTCTTTTGCTGTGGAGCTACTAACTTTCAGGAAGCTATATCTGTTTATTTCAAAACTAACATGTTTAAGGTTTTTGTCACCTCTCAGTCTGCCAGAAACTGGGGAAATACACAACTGATAAAAACACTGCTTAAAACATCAAACAAATAAACACATTATTTAAAAACATTCTGCAACAATATATTTAAATTAGTTTTAAAAAATATACCACTTGAACATGAAAGCTGAACACAAAAGCAACTACTTCAGATGTAAAGGATCAATGGTAATCCAAATAATACAAACTTCACTGCCACAGGTGTTACTACAGAGAAAACTGTCTAGTGGGACATGAACAGGGCTTTTGATGAGAATCAGAAAGTCCTAAATGGCACCAAGTTATCAGGGGCTTTGTGAGTCATTATTTATTTTAGGTTACCCTCAGAACTTGGAAAAGTTAATCTTTGTGACGAAAACCAGTAAGAACAATAATGAAAGTTGTAATCTAAAAAGGGAACTTTTCCAATATTTTAATTTCACATCCTAGTGTACTGTGTCACACCCTTTGGGAAAAGGAAGAAGCAACCTTTGATCTCATTTTGAGAGAAAGGCGGGATATAGATAAAAATAATAAAGAAGACATTCCATCAGCTTTTTAAAATTAGATTTTTGCCTTACCTTCCTGTAAGTGCAATTTTTAAAAATCATTCGATTCAAATATAAAAAACCCTGAAAATTCAAAGACCAGCTACAACCACACAACACTATTATTTTAGATATCTCCATGAGCAGGAAAGCCCTCCTTAAAATTACAGTTTTTACAAATGTTGTAGGTGCATCTACACTCTAGAATTAATCCAGCTTGACATCACTTTAACTGCCATGGCTCAATGCTATGGAATCATAGGACTTGCCATTTTACAAGGTCTTCAGCTTTCTCTGCCAAACACTGCTGGTGCTGCACCAAAGTACAACTCCCAGCCTCTAAAAATCCTTCTCTCCTTTTAAAATAAAAGTCTATATGTCTTTAATAGAATTTAAAAAATATATTCAAATAACTATAGACATCTAAATCCAACAGTAACAAATATGTTTTCTATATATGTTGTTATTTTGACACAGATTTCCTATCATAATATTCAAGATGCTGCACAGGACAAACAAAATAAGAACAATAAAATCTGCAACCACAATATAAGTCTGAACTGATATTTAAATTCATAAAATAAACTTTAAATAAATAAATAGATTTACCCTAAACATGTCTACCAAGGACAAAGGTAAACCACACTAAATGGGGCTTTCTTACAATTCGAATATTAAGAAAAAAGAGAGTCAAGTCAGCCCCAGACATTAAGTCTGGGTTTTAAGATATTACAAAATAATGTTTTGTAAAAATCTTATGGTGTTTTGCTACTTCTGTTGATTATGAAGATCTAAATGAAAAATATTACATACTTTCTGAAGATCTGAAAACTAATTATAAACTTTAGAAACCTGAAATTCTTAAACAGTCATCCTTTTTATATTTATTTGGGATTAAACCTTAATTAGGTAAAGGGACTTTTACCTCTTAGTAAATACATACAGAATTGCCTAATATGTAAATAGTTCCCCTAAAGTCTTGATCCTATAATACTGTTTCTCCTGTTGCTTTTAGGTTGTTCAGAAATATTTACAATACGGTCCATTTGTTCCTTTTGTCGGACAAAGAGGCTCTTTAATCCCCTAATTTGCTGATCTGCACAGGTGGGCAAGTTGTAAACTCCACATGACTGCATACAAACCAGATTAAAGAACAAGCAATGTTTATAACAACATATAAAGACTACGGACAACAGAGAGATTAGGATTTAGGAAAACAGAATGTATTAGTGCAGACTCATGGAATAAATCCAAGATGCATACAAGATTATATTTGCTTGGCTATCAATTCAGAAAGGAATGGCAGACACTGCTTGACCTTTTTGTTTATTTTTAAAACATCTCTAATATTTTGCTTGGACTACCCAAGTCTCCTTCCTTAATTTTGAGAGATAAAATGTCTCTCACTTTTTTGGCATACATAATTTACACAGATTTCTGAATTTAACAATTTAATAGCAGGAATTATCAGATACACAGAGAAGTTTTTATTTATTTTGTATACTCCACATGTGTCCCTGTTACATAAAGCCCATTCTGAAAGGAGAACTCACATAAACTATGTAATAATATTCACCTATATGTATGTGCTCTCAAATCTTATTATATCTTTCATTTTAACGGAATGCAAAGGCCCTGTTAACTAAAAGGTAAACTAGATTACAACAGGAATGAACAAATCTAAGTCACAATTAATTGGACCTGTTTTTGGGCAGAAAAGAGAAAGAAATGTGTACCCCTTTTTATTAGTATGGAGAAGGAAGATTCTGAAAAACTGTCCAGACTAATTTCTTGGCCTGTGCAAAATGGATTTAATCTATTTATTTATGTATTTATTTATTTAATGCGAATGTCATACATTACCTAATGTTACGCTAGCTGATTTGCAGTATCAAAGTACACCTAAATTACAATTGTTATTTTAAAAGGTAAAATCAAATATCACATATGAAAAGGAGCACTGATAAAAAAGCTTAGAAGTAGTTAGAATCTAATTATCAGATTATCCCCATTAAAAGATCCTTTACCAGTAACCAGTTAATCACCAAAACCCAGTCTAATTTTTTTAAAGTCTTTGCCTTCTGGCAGAAGAAATGCAGAGAGGGAACTTGCCTAACTGCTATAAGATTACAGGGTGTATCTACACTCTAGAATTAATGCAGTTCGACACCACTTGAACTGCAATGGCTCAATACTATGGGGTCCTGGAAATTGTTGTTTTACAAGGTCTTTAATCTTCTCTGTCAAAGAGTGCTGGTGCCTCACCAGCAAATCCTAGGGTTACATTGCACTGAGCCTTGGTAGTTAAAGTGCTGTCAAATTGCATTAATTCTACAGAACATATACTGTACACCTATAGTCTTTCAGATAATCTAGGAGAAACCAAAAATTTGAATGATAAAACAAACTGATTAAAGGAAAAGTGAAATGAAAAGCACCTGACATTTTATGATGCCTGGCACTTTGTCATTCATCATCAGTCCTGTGCCGGAAGGACTGAAGACCAACAGGTCGCAGGTTCGAATCCGGGGGAGAGGCGGATGAGCTCCCTCTATCAACTCCAGCTCCTCATGCGGTGACATGAGAGAAGCCTCCCACAAGGATGATAAAAACCTCAAAATCATCCGGGCGTCCCCTGGGCAACGTCCTTGCAGACGGCCAATTCTCTCACACCAGAAGCGACTTGCAGTTTCTCAAGTCGCTCCTGACACGACAAAAAAAAAAATCACCAGAATTCTATAATAATTTGCTAGCCTCAGTGTGGAAACTCCCATGATACAAGAATGACTGAAAATCCAAGACAGGCAAACCATTATTATACCTAATTTGAAATTACTTATTAGACATGGGGAATAAATCCTGGCAAAGTATTAGTACAGACAACTCCTTTGCAAAAACTGTGAGAAACCTGGTGAAATTAGAATCTTTTTGACGTGATCTGTATAATCTGTAGATACTATGGAACTGGACATCAATGTATTATTCTTTATTTTCGATCAAAATATTTACGCCTTAGTCTGTATCCGAAGTTGTCTAGGCAGCGTGTAATAATGTTTACATTTTCAAATAGTTTCAAAGGTGAAAGAGTAAAAGGTAATCTACGGTCTAAAATGTATTAAACTGTGTAACAAACTATAGAAAGTGAAAACAGTCAGAATTGCTAAGAAATCTGGTTTGTTGACCAAGTGTTGTGGTGAACACTGCTTAATCTCTCATGCTTGGCAACATAACAAACCAAGTTTGTTTAATGGTTTGTGTTGTGTTACTCTCCTTTCAAGACATTAAAGGCAGACGGATTAGTAGTTAAACAGATTACCATTAGTATTTAACCAAGAATCATTTTCTACTAATATATCAGATTTTTTTGTCCAAAATCCAGATAACAAATATTTTACCCTCTTAAAATGAATGACCAGACATTTTGTTGTTGGGTTTTTTTTTGTCTTGCTACCCCTTACATACTACTAATATCTGTTAAAATTAGTTTTCATTACATTTAATTTGATCAGTTATAGGATTTTCCTCAAAGAAAGCACAGATTGGGATATTCTATGCAATATTCACTTACAACTTTTATACAGCAAAGTTAACCATATTTAAATATACAAGGAATTTCAAATAATGCATACACAACTTTCCATAACTTACTGCAGAGTTTACTGTGTTCCCATAAATATTGCATCCCTTCTATAGGTATCATTTCTAAATCTGTTTTAATTTTTAAAATTAAGACAGCTCCTGCAAACAGAACTGAGTTGTAAAAAAATCCTACTTGGCATAAAATGTTGGATCTAGGTGACTTTCTTGATATTACTGTTGCAGAAAAATCAATTGCTTAACCATCAAAAGCTGTTGTTTCATGTAAAGAGAAATCAGTTATGGCAAATAAGATAATTGTTCCAGGGTTCTTTGCGAACGTAGTAATGAGTAAGCGCATACATCTTTATTTACACCATCTTCTGTTGGGTGTAATGCGAGCATTCAAATTAGAATCTGAACTATGTTGTACTACATAACGTGAAACGTAACTTCACAAACACGCACTTGCAAAAATAGAAAGCCATTCCATTTAAATGTATCAGGTTGCCTGTTTACTCTTTTGCACAAACAAAAGCAGCCGATACTACAAGAAGAGAGACATGAAAAGCCACTGGTTGATCAGCCAAAGAAATAATCTCTTGATAGCTAAATCTGCATAATAAGCATTCATTAACTTTGCCTCCATAAAGCAAATAATTAAATGGAGTCCTAAATTTGTTGATACATCTCTGATAATTTATACAGCCAAGGATTACTGGTGATAAATGTATAAACCCCATACTCACTGTATTGTGCATATTTTCTAAAACCTTAGCGGAAATGGAAACAAAAAAGGATTCTTCCCATTAATCAAAATGAAAACGAAATCTCCATGACAAAAAGGGGACATGGAAGTATGACATCCCACTGTATATGCTGAACAAACAAAGCATGACCGGGTTCTGAAGAAACTGTACAGACCTACAGACTGTAGGTTCAATGCAGTTTGACACCACTTTTAACTGCCATGGCTCAATGCTATGGAACCCTGGGAGTTGTAGTTTTACAGTGCTCAGCTGTCTCTGCCTAGGATTCCACAGTACTGAGCCATAGCAGCCAAAGTGTGGTCAAATTGCATTATTTATTTGTTTTGTGTGAAAAGCATTGCATACATAACCATTAAAATTGATAAAAATAGAAGGAGCACAAGTGGCTAAATATCTTTTGACTAAGATGAAGGATTCTTCTAGGTGGTGTCATTTAGCCAGGTTGTCTTTTGATCTGCCCACTGTGCCACTTGGGAGTCTGTTAAGGGACTTCCAAGTTGACCATTCTTGGTTTGCCCCTGGAGGAAGACCCTCGGGGAGGGGGGGGGCAACCAATTGGGATTTCCTGGTTTAGCTGCCCAGAGGGATGTGCTTGCTGTTGCTGGGGGAACGTTATGAGGAGTGGTGGTTCTCATGAAGCTTCTCATTGATTTGAGTCTACTGGAAGGAGACTGATAGCCACATAGTAGATGGCTTTCACAGTGTTCAACCTTATTTCTTTCACAGTTAGCAGCAACTTCGGGTGGGGGGGAATGCCAGCTAGCTTGTAGAAACTATCAAACTGCATTGATTTCACAGTTTAGATTAGAGCTTTCCAATCTGTGTCACGACACGTTCAGTGTGTCGGTGTGACACGTGATGATGAGAAACCTCTGAATCTACGTGAAAGAAGCAATACATTGTATATTTTAAACATATATAAGCAAAAGGTTTTCTGTGAGATAGGTTGCGTCCCCCTACAACTTATGTGTGGGTCTGTCCCTATTATAAAGTCCGGTAGTAAAAACTGAATTACTGTGTCACGAAGTGATGCCAGTCTAGAAAGTGTGGCGCCAACATGAACATGTTGGGAAAGCTCTAGTCTAGATGGACCAAAGTCATGTTCCAACCATAACATCCTTGGAAAAAGAGATTACAGCAGGTATGGGCAAACCTGGGCCCTTTATGTATTTTGGACTTTTCCTGTATGGCAAGGGGTTGGACTAGATGGCCCATGTGGTCTCTTCAAATTCTATTATTCTATGACTCCAAGATGTGTATGTGGATGTGTGTGTGTATGAAGGCCCCCCAGTGGCACAGCAGGTTAAACTGCTGAGCTGCTGAACTTGCTGACTGAAAACTCGTCTGTTTCAATCTGGGGAGCAGGATGAGCTCCCACTGTTAGGCCTAGCTTCTTCCAACCTAGCAGTTCAAAAACATGCAAATATGTGTAGAATAGAAAGGTAGAAAGGTAACAATGCTCCATGCAGCCATGCCAGCCGCATGAACTTGGAGATGTCTACAGACAACGCTGGCTCTTTGGTTTACAAATGGAGATGACCCCCCCCCCCCCCAAAGTTGGACATGACTCAATTTAATGTCGGGGAAACCTTTATCCTTTTTTACTATGTGTATACTGTATATACATAAACTATCCACATAAACACACACATATATATAACACATCTCTCTCATACATACACACGTAGAATCATAGAGCTGGAAGAGACCCCATGGGCCATCCAGTCCAACCCCCTGCCAAGAAGCAGGAATATTGCATTCAAAGCACCTCATCCAGGCTCTGTTTAAAAGCCTCCAAAGAAAGAGCCTCCACCACACCCCGGGGCAGAGAGTTCCACTGCTGAACAGCTCTCACCATCAGGTAGTTCAAATGGAATCTTGTTTCTTGTAGTTTGAAGCCATTGTTCTGCCTCCTAGTCTCCAGGGCTGAGGGGGAAAAGGAAGGGGCCTGAGGCTGTTAGGAATGGTGGGAGTTGAAGTCCAAAACACCTGGAGGGAGGGCCCAAGTTGGCCCATGCATGAGCTATCTCAACCTACTAATTTGCATATGGTTTCTGATTGGCCAGCCTCAACATTCTAACACTCTGAAGCGGCAGAGGGGGAAAAGGAAGGGGCCTGAGGCTGCTAGGAATGATGGGAGTTGAAGTCCAAAACACCTGGAAAGAAGGCCCAACTTGGCCCAGGCACCCATCTGCCATCTCTCATCACCATATCCTGACACTGAAGAAACCAGTCCTGATGAGCGAGCTGCTTCCCAAAGCCACCACAAAACATGTTTCTATGAGTAACTCATGAAGAGGCGCCAGATCTCCACAACCTGTGGAGAAGTTGGAGGAGCAGCCAAGTTGGGGCCTCTCTAGGATCCCCTTCAGACCCCCAACTTTCCTCTCAGGACGTCTCTTCCCTCTCGGAATGGCGGCGGGAAGAGGCGCCTCGGCACTTCTTCCCTCCCACCCACCACCCCGGCCTCGCCCAGTCCAACAGGTAGTGAGGGAGGGAGAGAAAGAAAGAAAGAAAGAAAGAAGGGGCTCCATTCTCTCTCTATGTATTATTCTCCTTTCTCAACTCCTGAAGAGTCCCGACCTCAGCGCTTACCTTTCCGCCATGTCGCCGCCTGGGATTCCTCCTCTTCCTCTGGCTGAGTGAGAGAGAGAGAGAGAGAGAGAGGAGGAGGAGGAGAGGGAGAGACGGGATCAGGATGTGAAACCCGATCTCTCCCGGCTTCGTGTGGACTGAGCCCAGGCGGCGCTGCCTAGGCCCTCTGGCGGGGAAAGGCCCGCTCGGCCCCGCGGGGAGAGGAAGTTCAGGCAACCCTTCACAGAGGAGGGAGGAGAGCCCATCCCTGCTTTTTCCTAATGCACGCTTATCAGAGCAGAAAGTTTTTAACAATGGGCAAACTTGGGCCCTCCAGGTGTTTTGGACTTCAACTCCCACCATTCCTAACAGCCGGTAGGCTGTTAGGAATGGTGGGAGTTGGAGTCCAAAACACCTGGAGGGCCCAAGTTTGCCCTAGGAATGGTGGGAGTTGGAGTCCAAAACACCTGGAGGGAGGGCCCAAGTTTGCCCTAGGAATGGTGGGAGTTGGAGTCCAAAACACCTGGAGGGCCAAGTTTGCCCTAGGAATGGTGGGAGTTGGAGTCCAAAACACCTGGAGGGCCCAAGTTTGCCCTAGGAATGGTGGGAGTTGGAGTCCAAAACACCTGGAGGGAGGGCCCAAGTTTGCCCTAGGAATGGTGGGAGTTGGAGTCCAAAACACCTGGAGGGAGGGCCCAAGTTTGCCCTAGGAATGGTGGGAGTTGGAGTCCAAAACACCTGGAGGGAGGGCCCAAGTTTGCCCTAGGAATGGTGGGAGTTGGAGTCCAAAACACCTGGAGGGAGGGCCCAAGTTTGCCCTAGGAATGGTGGGAGTTGGAGTCCAAAACACCTGGAGGGAGGGCCCAAGTTTGCCCTAGGAATGGTGGGAGTTGGAGTCCAAAACACCTGGAGGGAGGGCCCAAGTTTGCCCTAGGAATGGTGGGAGTTGAAGTCCAAAACACCTGGAGGGCCCAAGTTTGCCCTAGGAATGGTGGGAGTTGAAGTCCAAAACCCCTGGAGGGCCCAAGTTTGCCCTAGGAATGATGGGAGTTGAAATCCAAAACACCTGGAGGGCCCAAGTTTGCCCATGCCTGGCCTGTAGTGTCTTCATTAACTATTTTATGTATCGTGTCAGGAGAAAACCAAAACAGTTGTATTGCATTAAAAAAAAACAGACAAACAAACAAACAAAGCACAAAATTTGCAGACTTAGTAGTCTATTAAATGTCTTGGCAACTTGGAGCACCTCTGGTGTTGCTGCCAGGCCTGTAGCGGGGGGGGGGGGGGGGGGGGTAGGGGTTCAACCCCCCCCCCAAATTTTTCAGGTAAAAAAAAACCTGGTTTACTCATGAATTTTAACTGGTTAACCAAATCCCCATGCTAAGTCTATGAGATGTAAAAAATTAAGAACTGCAAGCACTATCTCAAGCAAATATCGACAATTCATTCACAATGTCATTATTTATTTATTTACTATATTTGTATACCGCTCTTCTCAGCCCTCAGGGCCACTCAGAGCGGTTCACAATAGCAAATACAATACTTAAACATGATAAAGACAATTAAGAACAATTTAAAAGAATAACATTATAACAATCAATAAACATCACAACATCGCATCTCGTCTCAGTTAAACTTGCAGCAATAACCGATGTAGCGGAGCAACCAAGTTGGTGGTGGTGGTGGTGGGGGGATCTTGAATGCTCTCATTAAGGAGGCCAGACTTGGTGGAGGTGGTTGACAGGGACGGAGCTGCAGGCTGTTGAAGGCTGCTCTGCCCCCGCTGTGCTCTTTGCTTCAGTGTGAGCTAGGAGGCAGGTTTCAAACCACCACCACCACCCCGAAATTTTCACCCCCCTCCCCGAATTTTTTTTCTGGCTATGGCCTTGGTTGCTGCAAGAAGGTCCTTCATTGTGCATGTGGCAGGGCTCAGGTTGCATTGCAGCAGGTGGTCTATGGTTTGCTCTTCTCCACACTCGCATGTCGTGGATTCCACTTTGTAGCCCCATTTCTTGAAGGTTGGCTCTGCATCTCGTGGTGCCAGAGCGCAGTCTGTTCAGCGCCTTCCAAGTCGCCCAGTTCTGTGTGCCCAGGGGGGAGTCTCTCATTTGGTATCAGCCATTGGTTGAGGTTCTGGGTTTGAGCCTGCCACTTTTGGACTCTCGCATGCTGAGGTGTTCCAGCAAGTGTCTCTGTAGATCTTAGAAAACTATGTCTAGATTTAAATCATTGACGTGCTGGATGATACCCAAACAGGGGATGAGCTGGAGATGTCTCTGCCTTGGTCCTTTCACTATTGGTTGCTACTTCCCAGCAGATGTCAAGTGGTGCAATACCAGCTAAACAGTGTAATTTCTCCAGTGGTGTAGGGCGCAGACACTCCGTGATAATGCGGCATGTCTCATTAAGAGCCACATCCATTGTTTTAGCATGGTGAGATGTGTTCCACACTGGGCATGCATACTCAGCAGCAGAGTAGCAAAGCGCAAGGGCAGATGTCTTCACTGTATCTGGTTATCTCCAGGTTGTGCCGGTCAGCTTTCGTATGATATTATTTCTAGCACCCATTAACTAAGACACTATGTCGTGTGT